CAGTTCTGATTAATCTCCTTTGTCAGTGTGTCCTTTGCCATTCCCTATCAAGAAATTATTTTTAAAGTTTCCCCTGAGACCTGCCCTCTTAGTACTTTACCTTTAAATATGGTGTTTTTCACAAATAATTTAATGTTTCCTGTAAGTACATTCAAAATCCTAGAGTTTTGCTTTGTAAAAGAGTTTATTTCATTTGGTTAAATCACTAGAGCCTCCAAAATTCTTGCCCATATCCTCAACACCCCAGCCAGAGAGACGGCAGCCACCTCAGAGACGCCATTCCATTGAAAAGGAAACACCTACTAACGTGAGGCAGTTTCTGCCGCCATCAAAGCAGAGTTCCCGATCTCTGGTAAGTAATCCAAGGGCTCAGTATGCTGTTCTAAAGATGATTTAGCAATCTTTTACTTTCTTGAGAAGGTAATGTGGAGAAAAATACTTTCAAAGGAGGTTAGAATAAACTTTCAACAACCTTATTTATTTTTTCACTATCTAAAAAACCCAAAATCAAATCCCAGTAGTAACTTAAAAGAAGCTTGGCCATCCTGTGTTCATTTTGAGTACTTTTTCCCCCTCTCTTCAGAAGACTTACTGGTAATTGAAAGTATTAAAGTACTAAAGAAATGCTTCCTTCCTTCCAAGAAGCATTCATTTATTTACATTATTAAAACTATTTCAAGAACTTTGTTGTCATTGTTAAACACCATCAAGTTGAGTAAAATTTACAGTGACTCTATGAATAGTGGATGTGATCCTGCCCTATCTTGTACCATCCTCATCATCTCTGACATATAGAGCCTACTGTTACAGTCAGAGTGTCATTTCATCTCATTGAGGGTCTTTTCCTCCTTCACTGACCTTTCCAAGCTTGATGTCCTTTTCTAAGGACTGGCCTCTTCTAACAACATGCCCAAAGTAAATAAAACAAAGTTTCACCATTCTTGCCTCTAAGGAGCAGCCTGATGCACCTTTTCCAAATGTTTGCCCTTTTGGCAGCCCAAGGGATGTGCAGCACTCTTCTGCAGCACCAAAACCTAAAGGTATTGGTTCTAATTACAGTAGACTGTTTTCAGTCAGATCGAAAGAATTTTGGTCCATCAGTTACAACTGGACATGGTTTTCATATATACTTTGTGATATTAGCAGCCAGAGCTGATATATGGACTGGTTAACAATTTTTCAGACTTTAAGGAGAGTTCTAGGTTTGTTTTGTTGTGGGTAGGTGCTGATGGTGCAGCCTCCAGTTCATACGAATCTTCTGTATAATGGAAGAGAATATTGTCTTCTCCTGTGCCTCATTCTCACAATCACTCTTGTGTTTAAGCCCTTTGTTATACTTAGTGCCTCAGCTGATCCCATTGAGAATATTACTGTTTTTCTTGAGCTCTCTTTCCAGATCTGTTTAGTGGCTTTTATTTTCCGGGGCAGTGCAACATAGTAACTAGGCCCCTGCTAGGAAGATAAGCAAACCAAAAGAGATCTGTAAACATTCTTTTGTAGTTCCATTTGGCTTCAAAATCTGTGCAGCAAGATACAAGACTTAGATCAATAACTATACCCAGAGCATCAAGAAAACAAAGGCACTCAAGCCACAGGACCAACAGTCAACATTATGATAGAGGGAAAAAGGATTGAAGCTGCCAACTCTTTCCTCTTCCTTGGATAATCAGTAAACAAATACTCTTGGTACCAGCAGTCAAGAAATCAGGAGACATATTGCACTGGGAAAGTCCACTGTTAGGGAACTTTCCAGAATATTGAAGAGCAGTGATGTCAGTTTGAAGACTATTGTTGTTGAGTTGAGCACAGCTCATTGTGACCCTATGAACAAAAGGTCTGAATCCTGCTTCCAAGCCTGTCTTAATCTGGGAGCTCTACCAAACCCTGTTTACCAAGGGTAATCATTATGGCATTTGACACACCAGCATTCAGTATCACAGCAACCTAAAGTTATCCAGAACAGCAAACTGACAGACAAGTGCTATACCACTAACAAGAGTCTTCTTCCCAAATACAATTATTAGCAGGCCCAAGGGCCCAACCAAAGGCCTACCCACCAGGTCCTCCAACCAAAGGCCTGCCCACCAGGTCCTGATTGACTTAAACAAGAGGCTTCCAGCCCACAGCTGATTGTTGACTAAATCCAGGTGACCAAGACTAAGGTGTGCCCAGTAACCTGCTGTGTATCTAAGGGATGGACAGTGAATAAGGATGGCAGAAGAAGAATTGATACCTTTGTGTTGTGGTGTTGGAGAAGAGTACTGAATATCCCAAGGACTGCCAAGAAAACAAACAGGTATGTCTTGGAGAGGGTGCCACCAGAGTGCTCCTTGAAGGCAAAGATGGCGAAGCTTCATCTTTCATACTTTGAACAGATAGCTAGGAGAGGATATTCACTACAGAGGAGCTTTCATGCTTGTAAAGATGGGAGGTCAGCAAAGGAGAAGACCTTCAATAAGATGGACTGACACAGTGACTTCAGCAGTAGGGTTGAGTTTGTCAGAGGTGGTGAGGATGGCACAGGATAAGGCACAGTTGAGGTCTACTGTTCATAGGGTCATTATGGCATGCTCAACTTGACAGCCTTTAACAACAATAATTAATTCTAATGCCTTTATTTCTTTCAGATACTCACAAATAACAAACACTGGATTGTGTTTAGATAATTTGCTATAGGCTAAGAATCATGAGGGTTTAATGAAGCAACAGCAGATGTCCCTGGGTCACCCTGGGAGGAAAAGAAAACAAAGCAGAGAGAGGATAGTTGTATGAAGGTACCACGTTTTAACAGTGCTTACAATTGTTGAAGTTGGGTAAATCATCCCTATTCCTAAATAGTTCAGTTAAAGAACTAATGTTTTTCTGGCCATTACTGATAGGAATTGTCTTAAGTTCTAAATAATTTCTACAATACTGCTAGTTGACAAAATCCAGCCTAGTTGATGATTTGCCAGCATAAGAATAGATCTCTTTGATGATGGTGAGGATGATTTGAGTTAATGTTTACAAAGTAAATTAGTTTTTCATTCAACAACTCATATACGTTTTTGTTTTATGATTTTAATTACAGTACGTAGTCATGCTTCCCACTTCTCCTTGTATCAAAAGCAGCACTCTTAAAAAAACAAAAAACAAAAAAAACCCCAGCAAATTCACCATAACCAAGTGGGATTCATAACAGGTATTCAAGGATGGTTCAACATAAGAAAATAAATTTAAATCATTACATTAACAAAGCAAAGAACAGGAATGACATGATCCCGTCAATTGATGCAGAAAAGGCCTTTAACAAAATCCAACACCCTTTCCTGATTAAAACACTCAATAAAATAGGATTGGAGGAAAACTTCTCAATATAGTAAAAAGTATATACACTAACGTGAGAGCCAACATTTTTCTCAGTGGAGAGAGATTAAAGACATTCTCCTTGAGGACAGAAACTAGGCAAGGATGCCCACTATCACCTCTCTTACTCAATATTGTATTGAAAGTCTTAGCGATAGCAATAAGGCAAGAGAAGGAAAAAAGAGGTATCCAAATTGGCAAAGAAGAGGTAAAATTATCTCTCTATGCAGATGGTATGAGAGTCTACTTAGAAAACCCTAAAGACTCAGCAAGAAAACTACTAGACATAGTTGACAAATTCAGCAAAGTGGCAGGATACAAGATCAAAATACAAAAATAAATTGGATTCCTCTACAGTGACAAAGAGAATACAGAGTTGCAGCTAAGAAAAACAATACCCTTCACAATAGCTAACCACAAGATTAATTACTTGGGAATAAATCTAACCAGAAGCACAAAGGATCTAGTCAAGAAAATTACAAAACATTACTTCAAGAAACAAAAAGAGAACTGGAGAAGTGGAAGAATATCCTGTGGAGGGCCTTCCTCTCCTGCGCTGTCCCTCCACCCTCCCAAGCATGATGTCCCTCTCCAAGGACCGGTCTCTCCTCACTACATGTCCGAAGTAAGTTAG